TGGATCAGCTCGGTTAAAATTGTCACAGGGTCATTATTTATTCCGTCATCTATTTTTTCTCAGAAAAAAGAACTACGACCACTAAATATTGTTTCCATCGCTGCAATCAGTTAAAGCATAGAAAAGAGTTTAACACGCAGGATATGGATAATATTCCTGACAGCGTAGTATCTCTGAGCAGGCAGAATTTAAGAGCTATTTTATTTTGCTTGCACGGATCAGAGGAGTGGTTCGGCGAGGAGGAATTATAAGGTAGTTTTCTGAGATATGTAGGGTTGTTCGTTTATTTATATTTATTATTTATTATTTATATTTATTATTTATTTCTTAATTATTAATTTTGTTGTATTTGTATGAAGTCATTGGGAGTCGTTACTTTCTTCGTACCCCTGCCCTCTTACCGCGAGGTGTCGGCACCGCAACGGTGACCCACATGCCACTCCTTTTGACTACTGTTTTATGTGTGTCTTTTGAGGTAATGGGCGAAAAAATAACCTGTCGTTCTTACTGATACCACAGTGAATAAGTAGATGCTTGGTTTACTGATCTGATTTGTGAGAAAGGTGCTTTAGCTTGGAGCTTGAACGGTGCAAGTACAAAACCAAATAAAAAGAAAAGTCTGTATCTTTCTTTCTAACTTGATCAGCCCCGCTATTTCGGTGTCCAATATTACCTGGTATCTTGCTATAGTTACAATGTACATGGTATAATATCATGAATAAGGCCTAGGTTTGCCCCACTTTCTAGTAATACGCCCTTGTTTAAATACGTATATAGATTGCTGTGGCGAAGATCTGCACCTCCGCGTCGTTTCTTTTCCACGACATTTGTGGACGTATAGGAATTCAGTGATTTCGATGGATGTTATTTTCGAAACAAAACCTTCAGTGGTTATTTCTACTCTACTATATACAGCGTTACGAGCATAAAAAAGCGCTTTGACTCGCCCCCAAAATACACCAGTCCTGGATTGCAGGCTAACGTATCACAAAATTTAAGCTGCCCAACGCGCCCAACCCTCTCGGACTTAATTACAGGTTAGAGCTGCTGTGTCATAAACCTTTTTTTAATTAAAAAAAAAAAAAACGAAACGAAAAGAAAAGAAATTGCCTAAATATAGTGACGGTCTTAAATAACGAAACTGGACCATTATTTCCGCATGGAAGTCAATCGACGTTTCAGGTTTGTAAAAATACTTGATCAGCGTGTTTGTATAAATCTTTATGTTGACCTTTTAAATGTGGATTTTTTTACTATCAGTTTGGAACTAATGTAAAGATTGCATCAAAAAGCTTCAAAAGCTTGGGATTGGTTCGCGCGCCCTTCAAAAACTGATAACAAGGATTCAGTATTTGTCAAGAGGTTTATAAAATAGGAACTCAACTTGCACACTGTACGTTAAGCTGCCAAAGTTCGGAAAGGAATCATCGCACGAGGCATCGTCCCTGAATGGTTGATAAATAAATCAAACTTTGCACAGAGAAAAGAACTTTTCAAAGGGAATGAATAAAGGCTTATCCAAATAAATGTTTTATGGGTTAAATTTTTGTATTTAAATGTTTTATGGGTTAAACATTTAATACAACATAATTTAGTGTATTTAGTGAGCTGAAAGCAAAACCATTTACTTCCAAATTGAGGTCTTCAAGGTAACTTAACTGGCCGTCAAATAATCCTGGAATCCATTTGGCTGAGGTGACTTGTTCCGTCTGGTTTACCTTTTACCGGTATTATATGTGTACTGCGTATTGCTTGGTCCAAAAACTATGAGGGATTTCAATACAATTATTTGAAACAATTTTATCTTTTCCTTTTCTTTTCCTTGCCTTTCTCCCTACCATCCCTTTTTTTAAATTTACTTTTTGTTTTCTATTTATCATCATGGGTGTCCAACGACTTTACACAAAAAAGAATAAAGTAAAGTTCATGCACTTTTTATGTTGGCCCTCCCAGGGTCCCTAAAAGCAAAGTTTAGCGGCGTAACAAAAGGAGAATTCGCTGCCAACTAATTTTGCTGGCATATCTTAAAATTCCTAGTTCCCAATCTAAGGGCTTTTGCTCGAAGGCGCTAAATAAAAGCTTCAGTGTGCCGCATCGCTCATTCCACCTTTCTTTTTTCATTCTTTAAAGGCCAAATCCTTTTTTAAAAACAATAAAAACAAACATTTAGATAAAAATAGAAAAAATAATAAAAACATAACCTGCGTTTGTTAGTTGCAGTCGTTAACAATCATTTTTGACACTAATCAGGTCTTTATTATCCTTTATCAGCTTTTCCTTTAATCTTTTAGGCAAAGCAAAATTTACGGTGATCGGTCACTAGAATGAATTACACGCTTTTTTACAAAAAGAAAGTTATAGAAACAATAACTTAAATTTTCTACAAATTTATAAACACTTGGCAGAATATTAAGGAAAGTTAAAATTAATATGTTTTGTTTGCAATAATCATTCGGAGCACATGATTATACTTAGCGCATGCTAGAGAAGGGATTTTATATTTCTGACAAAAAAAGGTGTTACAGGGACGGCTTTTGTCAAGAACGGTAATGAAAGGTGTGGACATACGGAATATTGCGATATAAAACCCGGTCCAGTCCTGGGTCAGGCCGTGTCAAGACCTTCTATGGAGCATACTATTTTTGTTATTATTATTATCGATCAACAGACGGTTTTGACTGCTGTAAGGAGTGCACACTATCCAGTGATTCTCTAGTTTACAGCTTTACACCATTCAACTCTCGATTACGTTTTCCCATATGAAACTTTCTACTGTAATGATGGGCATACTTCTAACCCAGGTCATTTAGGGAATTTCAAACTTCGCCCCACATCTGATGAGCCGAGGATCTGATTCAGACAGTCGAACTTTACATGTGCTGAACCTAATTCGAGGCGAAAGAAATATTATCCGTCCTGCTTAAAATAGGGAAATAAACTTTAAAAAAAAAAAAAAGTAAAATTCACCAAGCCTGGAAATTCCTGTTTTGATTTTAGTGTGATTTGTGTTCTGGTATGGGAAGGACACCGCTGATCGTGATATTTGGACTAAATACAGTAACGCCATAAATTTTAAAAGACATTACGATTTCTTTATGGATATAAAGAACAGCAGCTCTTTAGAAGACCGTTTTAAGCTGTCCGGTTTCAGTCTAAAATTCTACAACGTGAATGCTGGTAACCGTCGTTACGCTTCTCTGAGTTCTCCCCGCACAGGCGCGAAAATCCACTAAATAGCCAATCAGAAGCGCGGTTATAGTGAAAAATACGTTAACACAATGTATGCAGTAGGTTCGGCACATGTGAAGTTCGACGTATGAATCGAATTAGATCTTTTGCCGTTCTATTCGACAAGCTCAGTCGAATAGAACGGAAGAGTTGACCCAAATACAAAAGTGCCGTTCCTAATTGATTCATACGTCGAACTTTGCATGTGACGAACCTAATAATTAGGTTTGGCACATGTAAAGTTCGACGTTTGAACCGGGCCTTAATGTTCTTAGAGCCTGGTCAGCTACCTTCGGCCAGTAGAAATAAATGGTGACATGAGTCAATTATTGTCGATATGATAGCGTCACTAAGATACCAAGGTAGACGGAAAACGTAACTATTAGTCGCGCTGATCATAATTCAGTCAGAGTAAAATGAAAAGTTAGTTACTGAATTTTCGCTCCAAAGATACAATCTACGCAATGAAGAATATTTATTTACTAATTATCTTTTTTCTTTCTCTTTCTTAAATGAATTTTGGGCTAAATACTTGTATTATCATAACAACATAATACAGCTATTTGAATTTAGAGAGCTGAAAGTGATAGAACCATCTATAATTAGATAAATCAATCAGTTTCCCTTAGTTAGGAGAACTAGCATGAAACTAAGATACCAAGAAGGGACATAAGTATTGGCAAAGCTGATCATAATTCAACCAAAAGTAAAGTTGACAAGTTACAAATGTTGGTTCAGAAGATTACACTTTACTAAGGAAAGATGGGAATATATATATCATAGCAACACAATAAAGCTAAGAGAATTGAGAGAGCTGAAAGTGCTAGAACCATCCATAAATAAATAAATCAATCATTCCATTTCATGCTCGGAGGGGAGGAGCTCACCTTAAATGGTAATAGGGGTAGTTTTCAGTTTTGTATATATACGACCATGCAGAAGGCCATAAACCAGAATATCAACTTGCAGAAAGTTGCTTCCTATACTGAATCAGTCTCTGTTGAAGCTCCTTTAGATAAAGTCCACCGAGAACGGATAGGTACGTTTTAAAATTTTATGAAGCAAGATTTGATTTTATCTGTCGTGTTCATGGGCATTGCCCGATGGTAACGTTACAGCAACCTTTATGCTTATTATTTAAAAAGCTGGCAACAGGCTTAGGTACGAAAACAGCTTTTTGGGAGGACTGTAGATTTGAAACCTTTTCCTTTTTTTCCTACGTTCTCGTCGTAGGCTACAAAAGGGATCAGTTTTACAGGGTGAAAACTAGGAAATTTTTAGGAGGAAGGAATTAAGAGTTCTGCTAGAGATTATTAGAAATGAAGAATTAACTGCTTAGCACTAGTTAGGTTTATGAGCATGCCTTTGCATCCACCTTTGTTAAAGGGACTTTAAAACTGTCAACCATTCAGTGCTTATTTTTTCGATCCTGGGACAAAGGTTTCTTCCATTTTCCCTTTTTAGTTTAAAAGCGTAAATCAGGATTTAAAACGTCTTAGCGTACTCCACTATATGTAGTTAAACGTAATAGGAGCTACTTCTTTAAAGGATCGCTAATTTAAAGATGTTATGGCAAGTGATCTTACATGGGCGGCAGGTTCATTTCCAGCATAGTTACTCTTTGTTAGAACTAGCATTTTCACCGAAGAAACCACGCTGTGCATTGCATTTTAAATGTGCATTGTATTTTAAATGCTACTTTTGTGCTCTTTACATAGGCAGAAATATCCAAGAGTTGCTTATCACTAACACCGACGTATTTATACGTATTCATGCTTTTTCAGGAAGGTTCAATGATGTCACGATTCGTTCTTGTTTTTCTGCCGTTGCTGTTGGCCGTCTCCCTCCTACAAGAAAGGTTTGAGCACTCTATTATTATAATGATGACGGACTTTCACTCCATGGTCTTCATCCTCAAAATGTCCACTTTTCATTCTTCCGAATGCTTTGGGTTATTTATCGTTTCATGGTAATACTGATTTCACTAAAAACGTAAGATTTTTGGAAATTTCTCATAATTTCCGACAAATGATGTGAGATAAAATGGGTTGAAAGAGAAATCGAAATGAAGGGCAGAATGACATATATTATTTAGCAATTAATGAATGAGACTGAGTAGGATATGAAGAATTAAGCAGATCACGGAGGGTGTTATCCACCGAGGCCGCTGTTTTTGCCATGTTTTTATTTATTATTTCGCCTAGTTTCAGCTGTAGTTCTTCCTCTTGAAACGAGTGAATTGTCCGCCATTTTTTTTTCACAACCAAAACAACTCAACCTCGTCCCCAGGTCGTCTCGGTAACAGTGCCTTAACCTGCAGCGGACTGCATTTTTGACGTCATTTCCTCGTTAAACACAAAATTCTTCCAATTTGGTCATCAGTAACTGGTTATGGTGAATTCCTGGTTTAAAAACAAGCTATAACATGCTTACCTTCATCGATGTTAAGTTCACCTCGATAGCGCCTATTTGGAAGATGAAGGGCTGTTCAGGTCTGCAAATATACTCCAAATAGCAGATGTTGTCCGTCGAATTGTCTTCTTGGTGTGTTTTTGAACAATAGTTCGTCGTGAAACGAGTAAAATGTTCCGCCAACTGTTCGGCCATTTTTCTTTTCACAACCAAAACAACTCAATCTGTCCCCAGGTCGTCTGGGTTAACAGTGCATTAACCTGCAACTGTGCTGCAGTTTTGACGTCATCGGTTGATTAAACGCAAAATTCTTTTAAATTTGGTCAACAGTCGCTGGTTATGGTGAATTATGCGTGTGCTTTTAGCATATCAGAAACGGACAAATATTTTGAGTGAATAATAATAACATTTATTCTCCTGCTGCAAGAAAAGGAAATGCGGAATCACATAAACGCAAAAAATCTTTAATAACTACAACAACAACAAAACCGATCATGATACTAGATATGGCCACCAAAAATTACGCAGAATAATGCATTCGTCATTTCCAAATTAGGCTTAATTTGATTCATGACACAAAATCCAAATTCGACCCCTCAAAGTAGTCATACAAAAAGAAAAAGAAAACTTTAAAAAATAAGGTGTCTAATAATATTAAGAAGTTAAAACATTTCTTATCTTTCCGCCAGATAGCCATCACATATCAAATATATGCCAAGTAGTATTTATCGACCAAATTCTTGATTACTTTCAAAAAACAAACAAAACAAAAACCAGTAACAATGACGACAATGAAATATTAAATTAAATATTGTTAAACAAGAAATGGGTCGATGATTTATGGGTAGAACTCATCTCCTGTCTTACATATCGGTTCCAAACAGTTAAAAAGTCTGTGTTTTGTGTTGTTTTGATTTATTTTTGTTAAGTATTATTAAAGCACATATTATCCTCTAAATGGCTCCAATTTTCTTGGTTATGTTTCAGTGATGCTGCCTCTTTAAAGCGGGACGCAAAGAAGCTTGATTCAGGCTATTACTAGTACGTATGGAAATATGTTTGCAGCAAAAAATTTTTATCTTTTGACAACAAAAACAACATCCCTCAAGTTACCGGAGGAACTAAATGACCACGAAAAAAAGAGGAAACAGCTTTTAAAGCGCTATCAATAAATACGACAACTTGACTTGATTCAAAACCATATCACAATTTTTACCCGTAGGCTGTGCAGACAGTAATGTTAGAATAATATATCAACGTTAAAAAAAATGAATTATACTTAATTGATATTTCTAAGCTACTGTTAATATACAACAACAAGAAAAAAACTTCTCCACTATAAAAGGGTCGCTCGCCTGTCTGAGCTCTCCTGGGCGAGCCAACTATGATTTCCAAACAAAACTTGGCGACAAGTTTACCTTGAAAAAGAGAACGTTGGGACGGCTAGAAGAGTTGCCTACCTACCCCGGTTACCCTTTTTATATTGTAGGGTCAAACTACAAGAAGGGGTTTCTGGGTTGGAATCATCATTGTGTAATACTAGGTTATGTTTCACTGATGCTGTCTGATATTATTATAACTTTAATGAGAGGAAACACAAAATAACATTGTTTCAATCAGTTTCAACGACAAAGATGAATTTATAGTTTTCTGGGTTGGGCGCAAACCAGATAGCGCTCATATTCTCCACTCTACAATGATGGTTCCAACAAAATAAATGAAGTGGTTTGTATTGGTAATAAAGGCAAAATATAAACTTTCCGTTTATGATACAATTGTCACGGTTATGTTTCAGTGATTATTACGATGACAAGAAGGACGCAAACAAGCTTGATTCAGGCTATTACTAGTACGTATATATGAAAAAATATTTGCAGAATTGATTTGAAATCTTTAAATTTAACTTCAAATCGACTCTATTTGAAGAAGTTATCAGAGGAAACAAATGACCAACACCAAAAGAAGAGAAAACACAGCTTTTTAAGCACTATCAATATATACGACAACTTGACTTACATAAACGTTCCGTTTATGACGCAATTGTCACGGTTATGTTTCAGTGATTCCGGTTATTATTACGATGACAAGAAGGACGTAAAGAAGCTTGATTCAGGCTATTACTAGTAAGTAGAAAAAAAAAAATGTCGGTATTTTCCTACATTTCCAAAGAAAACTTGGCGAACAGTTTACATCAAAAACATGAAATTGGCTTTCCTAGACTGGTGACACGCCTTCAGCCGGGTCACCGTTATTCGATAGTAGGGACACGCTCCTAGCAGTGGTTTTCTGGATTAGACACATCAGTGCCTTGGATGTTTTTCAGCGACGTTCCCTTTATAAACTATAAACTTTCCGTTTTTGATAAAATTGTCTCGGTTACGTTACACCGATTCTGGTTATTATTAGGTCAAACTCCGAGCAGGGGTTGCTGGGTTGGAATAATCATTGTCTGTTAATAAGTTATGTTTCATTGATGCTGTCTGATAATATTATAACTTTAATAAGAGGAAACACAAAATAACATGGTTTGAAACACTATCAAAGGCAGCGATGACTTTATAGTTTTCTGGGTTTGGCGCATCATATTCTCCTGTCTACAATGATGATTCCAACAAAATAAATGGAGTGCTTTTTTTGGGAAATAAAAGTGAAATATAAACTTTCTGTTTTTGATACAATTGTCCTGGTTATGTTTCAGCGATTCTGGTTATTATTACGATAACAAGAAGGACAAGAAGGAGGCAAACAAGCTTGATTCAGGCTATTACTAGTACGTACGGTAAAATAAAATACAATTTAAAAAAATTAAAAAAAAAATTGACCTCTGTGAAAGGGTAATCCGCCTGCCTGAGCTCCTCTGAGCGAGCCAACTTTCATTTTTATACAAAACTAGCTAAAACTTGGCCAACAGTTTAGATTCAGAAAAAGAAAGTAGGCTCGGCTAGAGGAGTGACGTGACTCGCCTTGCCGGGTTACCCTTTTTTGATTGTAGCTTCAAACTCCGAGCAGGGGTTTCTGGGTTAGAATCATTATTGTATATTACTAAGCTATGTTTCAGTGATGCTGCTTGATATTATTGTAACTTTAATAAGACGAATCACAAAATAACATTGTTTGAAACACTGTCAACGACAACGAGAACTTTATTTGTTTTTAGGCTGGGCGCATCTGCCGTCTATAATGATGGTTCCAACAAAATAATTTTTATATGGAGTGGTTTTTATTGCTAATAAAAAACGATATATAACTTTCGGTTTATGATACATTGTTTCGGTTATATTTCAGCGATACTGGTTATTATTATGATGACAAGAAGTATAAAAAGGAGCTTGATTCAGGCTATTACTATATATATATATATATATATATATGAAAAACTGTTTGCAGCATTAAAAAATTTTTAAATTTAACACTTAACCAACTCTATTACAGAGTTGTCTATTACTAAGTTATGTTTCAGTAGTGCTGGCTGATATTATTATAACTTTAATACGATTATGACACTGTTTTCATACCTTTAATAATTCTTTTAGTAATAATGGCAAAATATATACTTTCTGTTTATAATACAACTGTCACGGTTATGTTTCAGTGATTCCGGTTATTATTACGATGACAAGAAGGACGCAAAGAAGCTTGATTCAGGCTCCAATAGCTACTAGTAAGTAATAATAATAATAACTGTTTATTCACAAATCCAAATCGGAAAGTGAAAAGGAGATAAAAGAGGTTATCCATTTCTAGTTTATCTCCTGATAATAAAATACATTAAGAAATAAATTATTTACAACTGTTTAAAATAGTAACTATATATGTATATAAAACTTCACACAGTAAAAGAACTTAGTGTTCACTAGGAAAATCTGTAAGATAACGTCTCAGTCTGTTCTTGAAAATATTCAAATTCTCCGCCTCGGCAACTTCCTTTGGAAGATTGTTCCACTTATCTATTATGCGTATTAAGAAAGAATGTTTAAAACTATTTAAAATTGCTGATGCAAGCTTAACTTTAAAACGATGGTTGGCTCTTAAGGGCCGAAAATCATGTGCAAATGTGAAAAATGCTGAGGGATCAAGTCCATTAAGTCTATTTATTGTCTTATAACACTCGATAAGCGACGGAAATAATCTTCTTTGTAGAAGAAAATGTAGATGAAAAAAATGAAAAGTAGAAAAAAAATGACGGTATTTTCCCACATTTCCAAAGAAAACTTGGCGAACAGTTTACATGAAAAATATGAAATTGGCTTTCCTAGACTTGTGACACGCCTTCAGCCGGGTCACTGTTTCTCGATAGTAGGGACACGCACCTAGCAGTAGTTTTCTGGAATAGACACATCAGTGCCTTAGATGTTTTTCAGCGATGCTCCCTTTTATCATGATAAGTTTCATATGGAAAATGCAACTAAAATTTAAAAGAAACAAAAAATCACTTAGTTTGAAACATGATCAACGACAGAAACGACTTAATAGTTTTCTGGGTTGAACACATCTCCTGTACTTAGAAACGGTTCCAACAAAATAAATGGAGTGGTTTTTATTGGTAATAAAAACGAAATATTTATAAACTTTCCTTTTATGATAAAATTGTCTCGGTTATGTTTCAGCGATTCTGGTTATTATTACGATGACAAAAAGGACGCAAAGAAGCTTGATTCAGGCTCCAATAGCTACTAGTAAGTAATAATAATAATAACTGTTTATTCACAAATCCAAATCGGAAAGTGAAAAGGAGATAAAAGAGGTTATCCATTTCTAGTTTATCTCCTGATAATAAAATACATTAAGAAATAAATTATTTACAACTGTTTAAAATAGTAACTATATATGTATATAAAACTTCACACAGTAAAAGAACTTAGTGTTCACTAGGAAAATCTGTAAGATAACGTCTCAGTCTGTTCTTGAAAATATTCAAATTCTCCGCCTCGGCAACTTCCTTTGGAAGATTGTTCCACTTATCTATTATGCGTTTTAAGAAAGAATGTTTAAAACTATTTAAAATTGCTGATGCAAGCTTAACTTTAAAACGATGGTTGGCTCTTAAGGGCCGAAAATCATGTGCAAATGTGAAAAATGCTGAGGGATCAAGTCCATTAAGTCTATTTATTGTCTTATAACACTCGATAAGCGACGAAAATAATCTTCTTTGTAGAAGAAAATGTAGATGAAAAAAATGAAAAGTAGAAAAAAAATGACGGTATTTTCCCACATTTCCAAAGAAAACTTGGCGAACAGTTTACATGAAAAATATGAAATTGGCTTTCCTAGACTTGTGACACGCCTTCAGCCGGGTCACTGTTTCTCGATAGTAGGGACACGCACCTAGCAGTAGTTTTCTGGAATAGACACATCAGTGCCTTAGATGTTTTTCAGCGATGCTCCCTTTTATCATGATAAGTTTCATATGGAAAATGCAACTAAAATTTAAAAGAAACAAAAAATCACTTAGTTTGAAACATGATCAACGACAGAAACGACTTAATAGTTTTCTGGGTTGAACACATCTCCTGTACTTAGAAACGGTTCCAACAAAATAAATGGAGTGGTTTTTATTGGTAATAAAAACGAAATATTTATAAACTTTCCTTTTATGATAAAATTGTCTCGGTTATGTTTCAGCGATTCTGGTTATTATTACGATGACAAAAAGGACGCAAAGAAGCTTGATTCAGGCTCCAATAGCTACTAGTAAGTAATAATAATAATAACTGTTTATTCACAAATCCAAATCGGAAAGTGAAAAGGAGATAAAAGAGGTTATCCATTTCTAGTTTATCTCCTGATAATAAAATACATTAACAAATAAATTATTTACAACTGTTTAAAATAGTAACTATATATGTATATAAAACTTCACACAGTAAAAGAACTTAGTGTTCACTAGGAAAATCTGTAAGATAACGTCTCAGTCTGTTCTTGAAAATATTCAAATTCTCCGCCTCGGCAACTTCCTTTGGAAGATTGTTCCACTTATCTATTATGCGTATTAAGAAAGAATGTTTAAAACTATTTAAAATTGCTGATGTAAGCTTAACTTTAAAACGATGGTTGGCTCTTAAGGGCCGAAAATCATGTGCAAATGTAAAAAAATGCTGAGGGATCAAGTCCATTAAGTCTATTTATTGTCTTATAACACTCGATAAGCGACGAAAATAATCTTCTTTGTAGAAGAAAATGTAGATGAAAAAAATGAAAAGTAGAAAAAAAATGACGGTATTTTCCCACATTTCCAAAGAAAACTTGGCGAACAGTTTACATGAAAAATATGAAATTGGCTTTCCTAGACTTGTGACACGCCTTCAGCCGGGTCACTGTTTCTCGATAGTAGGGACACGCACCTAGCAGTAGTTTTCTGGAATAGACACATCAGTGCCTTAGATGTTTTTCAGCGATGCTCCCTTTTATCATGATAAGTTTCATATGGAAAATGCAACTAAAATTTAAAAGAAACAAAAAATCACTTAGTTTGAAACATGATCAACGACAGAAACGACTTAATAGTTTTCTGGGTTGAACACATCTCCTGTATTTAGAAACGGTTCCAACAAAATAAATGGAGTGGTTTTTATTGGTAATAAAAACGAAATATTTATAAACTTTCCTTTTATGATAAAATTGTCTCGGTTATGTTTCAGCGATTCTGGTTATTATTACGATGACAAAAAGGACGCAAAGAAGCTTGATTCAGGCTCCAATAGCTACTAGTAAGTACTAAAAATAATAACTGTTTATTCACAAATCCAAATCGGAAAGTGAAAAGGAGATAAAAGAGGTTATCCATTTCTAGTTTATCTCCTGATAATAAAATACATTAACAAATAAATTATTTACAACTGTTTAAAATAGTAACTATATATGTATATAAAACTTCACACAGTAAAAGAACTTAGTGTTCACTAGGAAAATCTGTAAGATAACGTCTCAGTCTGTTCTTGAAAATATTCAAATTCTCCGCCTCGGCAACTTCCTTTGGAAGATTGTTCCACTTATCTATTATGCGTATTAAGAAAGAATGTTTAAAACTATTTAAAATTGCTGATGTAAGCTTAAGTTTAAAACGATGGTTGGCTCTTAAGGGCCGAAAATCATGTGCAAATGTGAAAATGCTGAGGGATCAAGTCCATTAAGTCTATTTATTGTCTTATAACACTCGATAAGCGACGAAAATAATCTTCTTTGTAGAAGAAAATGTAGATGAAAAAAAATGAAAAGTAGAAAAAAAAAAAATGACGGTATTTTCCCACATTTCCAAAGAAAACTTGGCGAACAGTTTACATGAAAAATATGAAATTGGCTTTCCTAGACTTGTGACACGCCTTCAGCCGGGTCACTGTTTCTCGATAGTAGGGACACGCACCTAGCAGTAGTTTTCTGGAATAGACACATCAGTGCCTTAGATGTTTTTCAGCGATGCTCCCTTTTATCATGATGAGTTTCATATGGAAAATGCAACTAAAATTTAAAAGAAACAAAAATCACTTAGTTTGAAACATGATCAACGACAGAAACGACTTAATAGTTTTCTGGGTTGAACACATCTCCTGTACTTAGAAACGGTTCCAACAAAATAAATGGAGTGGTTTTTATTGGTAATAAAAACGAAATATTTATAAACTTTCCTTTTATGATAAAATTGTCTCGGTTATGTTTCAGCGATTCTGGTTATTATTACGATGACAAAAAGGACGCAAAGAAGCTTGATTCAGGCTCCAGTAGCTACTAGTAAGTAATAAAAATAATAACTGTTTATTCACAAATCCAAATCGGAAAGTGAAAAGGAGATAAAAGAGGTTATCCATTTCTAGTTTATCTCCTGATAATAAAATACATTAAGAAATAAATTATTTACAACTGTTTAAAATAGTAACTATATATGTATATAAAACTTCACACAGTAAAAAGAACTTAGTGTTCACTAGGAAAATCTGTAAGATAACGTCTCAGTCTGTTCTTGAAAATATTCAAATTCTCCGCCTCGGCAACTTCCTTTGGAAGATTGTTCCACTTATCTATTATGCGTTTTAAGAAAGAATGTTTAAAACTATTTAAAATTGCTGATGCAAGCTTAAGTTTAAAACGATGGTTGGCTCTTAAGGGCCGAAAATCATGTGCAAATGTGAAAAATGCTGAGGGATCAAGTCCATTAAGTCTATTTATTGTCTTATAACACTCGATAAGCGACGAAAATAATCTTCTTTGTAGAAGAAAATGTAGATGAAAAAAATGAAAAGTAGAAAAAAAATGACGGTATTTTCCCACATTTCCAAAGAAAACTTGGCGAACAGTTTACATGAAAAATATGAAATTGGCTTTCCTAGACTTGTGACACGCCTTCAGCCGGGTCACTGTTTCTCGATAGTAGGGACACGCACCTAGCAGTAGTTTTCTGGAATAGACACATCAGTGCCTTAGATGTTTTTCAGCGATGCTCCCTTTTATCATGATAAGTTTCATATGGAAAATGCAACTAAAATTTAAAAGAAACAAAAAATCACTTAGTTTGAAACATGATCAACGACAGAAACGACTTAATAGTTTTCTGGGTTGAACACATCTCCTGTACTTAGAAACGGTTCCAACAAAATAAATGGAGTGGTTTTTATTGGTAATAAAAACGAAATATTTATAAACTTTCCTTTTATGATAAAATTGTCTCGGTTATGTTTCAGCGATTCTGGTTATTATTACGATGACAAAAAGGACGCAAAGAAGCTTGATTCAGGCTCCAATAGCTACTAGTAAGTACTAAAAATAATAACTGTTTATTCACAAATCCAAATCGGAAAGTGAAAAGGAGATAAAAGAGGTTATCCATTTCTAGTTTATCTCCTGATAATAAAATACATTAACAAATAAATTATTTACAACTGTTTAAAATAGTAACTATATATGTATATAAAACTTCACACAGTAAAAGAACTTAGTGTTCACTAGGAAAATCTGTAAGATAACGTCTCAGTCTGTTCTTGAAAATATTCAAATTCTCCGCCTCGGCAACTTCCTTTGGAAGATTGTTCCACTTATCTATTATGCGTATTAAGAAAGAATGTTTAAAACTATTTAAAATTGCTGATGTAAGCTTAAGTTTAAAACGATGGTTGGCTCTTAAGGGCCGAAAATCATGTGCAAATGTGAAAAATGCTGAGGGATCAAGTCCATTAAGTCTATTTATTGTCTTATAACACTCGATAAGCGACGAAAATAATCTTCTTTGTAGAAGAAAATGTAGATGAAAAAAATGAAAAGTAGAAAAAAAATGACGGTATTTTCCCACATTTCCAAAGAAAACTTGGCGAACAGTTTACATGAAAAATATGAAATTGGCTTTCCTAGACTTGTGACACGCCTTCAGCCGGGTCACTGTTTCTCGATAGTAGGGACACGCACCTAGTAGTAGTTTTCTGGAATAGACACATCAGTGCCTTAGATGTTTTTCAGCGATGCTCCCTTTTATCATGATAAGTTTCATATGGAAAATGCAACTAAAATTTAAAAGAAACAAAAAATCACTTAGTTTGAAACATGATCAACGACAGAAACGACTTAATAGTTTTCTGGGTTGAACACATCTCCTGTACTTAGAAACGGTTCCAACAAAATAAATGGAGTGGTTTTTATTGGTAATAAAAACGAAATATTTATAAACTTTCCTTTTATGATAAAATTGTCTCGGTTATGTTTCAGCGATTCTGGTTATTATTACGATGACAAAAAGGACGCAAAGAAGCTTGATTCAGGCTCCAATAGCTACTAGTAAGTAATAATAATAATAACTGTTTATTCACAAATCCAAATCGGAAAGTGAAAAGGAGATAAAAGAGGTTATCCATTTCTAGTTTATCTCCTGATAATAAAATACATCAACAAATAAATTATTTACAACTGTTTAAAATAGTAACTATATATGTATATAAAACTTCACACAGTAAAAGAACTTAGTGTTCACTAGGAAAATCTGTAAGATAACGTCTCAGTCTGTTCTTGAAAATATTCAAATTCTCCGCCTCGGCAACTTCCTTTGGAAGATTGTTCCACTTATCTATTATGCGTATTAAGAAAGAATGTTTAAAACTATTTAAAATTGCTGATGCAAGCTTAACTTTAAAACGATGGTTGGCTCTTAAGGGCCGAAAATCATGTGCAAATGTGAAAAATGCTGAGGGATCAAGTCCATTAAGTCTATTTATTGTCTTATAACACTCGATAAGCGACGAAAATAATCTTCTTTGTAGAAGAAAATGTAGATGAAAAAAATGAAAAGTAGAAAAAAAAAAAATGACGGTATTTTCCCACATTTCCAAAGAAAACTTGGCGAACAGTTTACATGAAAAATATGAAATTGGCTTTCCTAGACTTGTGACACGCCTTCAGCCGGGTCACTGTTTCTCGATAGTAGGGACACGCACCTAGCAGTAGTTTTCTGGAATAGACACATCAGTGCCTTAGATGTTTTTCAGCGATGCTCCCTTTTATCATGATAAGTTTCATATGGAAAATGCAACTAAAATTTAAAAGAAACAAAAAATCACTTAGTTTGAAACATGATCAACGACAGAAACGACTTAATAGTTTTCTGGGTTGAACACATCTCCTGTACTTAGAAACGGTTCCAACAAAATAAATGGAGTGGTTTTTATTGGTAATAAAAACGAAATATTTATAAACTTTCCTTTTATGATAAAATTGTCTCGGTTATGTTTCAGCGATTCTGGTTATTATTACGATGACAAAAAGGACGCAAAGAAGCTTGATTCAGGCTCCAATAGCTACTAGTAAGTAATAATAATAATAACTGTTTATTCACAAATCCAAATCGGAAAGTGAAAAGGAGATAAAAGAGGTTATCCATTTCTAGTTTATCTCCTGATAATAAAATACATTAAGAAATAAATTATTTACAACTGTTTAAAATAGTAACTATATATGTATATAAAACTTCACACAGTAAAAGAACTTAGTGTTCACTAGGAAAATCTGTAAGATAACGTCTCAGTCTGTTCTTGAAAATATTCAAATTCTCCGCCTCGGCAGCTTCCTTTGGAAGATTGTTCCACTTATCTATTATGCGTATTAAGAAAGAATGTTTAAAACTATTTAAAATTGCTGATGCAAGCTTAACTTTAAAACGATGGTTGGCTCTTAAGGGCCGAAAATCATGTGCAAATGTGAAAAATGCTGAGGGATCAAGTCCATTAAGTCTATTTATTGTCTTATAACACTCGATAAGCGACGGAAATAATCTTCTTTGTAGAAGAAAATGTAGATGAAAAAAATGAAAAGTAGAAAAAAAAAATGACGGTATTTTTCCCACATTTCCAAAGAAAACTTGGCGAACAGTTTACATGAAAAATATGAAATTGGCTTTCCTAGACTTGTGACACGCCTTCAGCCGGGTCACTGTTTCTCGATAGTAGGGACACGCACCTAGCAGTAGTTTTCTGGAATAGACACATCAGTGCCTTAGATGTTTTTCAGCGATGCTCCCTTTTATCATGATAAGTTTCATATGGAAAATGCAACTAAAATTTAAAAGAAACAAAAAATCACTTAGTTTGAAACATGATCAACGACAGAAACGACTTAATAGTTTTCTGGGTTGAACACATCTCCTGTACTTAGAAACGGTTCCAACAAAATAAATGGAGTGGTTTTTATTGGTAATAAAAACGAAATATTTATAAACTTTCCTTTTATGATAAAATTGTCTCGGTTATGTTTCAGCGATTCTGGTTATTATTACGATGACAAAAAGGACGCAAAGAAGCTTGATTCAGGCTCCAATAGCTACTAGTAAGTAATAATAATAATAACTGTTTATTCACAAATCCAAATCGGAAAGTGAAAAGGAGATAAAAGAGGTTATCCATTTCTAGTTTATCTCCTGATAATAAAATACATTAAGAAATAAATTATTTACAACTGTTTAAAATAGTAACTATATATGTATATAAAACTTCACACAGTAAAAGAACTTAGTGTTCACTAGGAAAATCTGTAAGATAACTTCTCAGTCTGTTCTTGAAAATATTCAAATTCTCCGCCTCGGCAGCTTCCTTTGGAAGATTGTTCCACTTATCTATTATGCGTATTAAGAAAGAATGTTTAAAACTATTTAAAATTGCTGATGTAAGCTTAACTTTAAAACGATGGTTGGCTCTTAAGGGCCGAAAATCATGTGCAAATGTGAAAAATGCTGAGGGATCAAGTCCATTAAGTCTATTTATTGTCTTATAACACTCGATAAGCGACGAAAATAATCTTCTTTGTAGAAGAAAATGTAGATGAAAAAAATGAAAAGTAGAAAAAAAATGACGGTATTTTCCCACATTTCCAAAGAAAACTTGGCGAACAGTTTACATGAAAAATATGAAATTGGCTTTCCTAGACTTGTGACACGCCTTCAGCCGGGTCACTGTTTCTCGATAGTAGGGACACGCACCTAGCAGTAGTTTTCTGGAATAGACACATCAGTGCCTTAGATGTTTTTCAGCGATGCTCCCTTTTATCATGATAAGTTTCATATGGAAAATGCAACTAAAATTTAAAAGAAACAAAAAATCACTTAGTTTGAAACATGATCAACGACAGAAACGACTTAATAGTTTTCTGGGTTGAACACATCTCCTGTACTTAGAAACGGTTCCAACAAAATAAATGGAGTGGTTTTTATTGGTAATAAAAACGAAATATTTATAAACTTTCCTTTTATGATAAAATTGTCTCGGTTATGTTTCAGCGATTCTGGTTATTATTACGATGACAAAAAGGACGCAAAGAAGCTTGATTCAGGCTCCAGTAGCTACTAGTAAGTAATAAAAATAATAACTGTTTATTCACAAATCCAAATCGGAAAGTGAAAAGGAGATAAAAGAGGTTATCCATTTCTAGTTTATCTCCTGATAATAAAATACATTAAGAAATAAATTATTTACAACTGTTTAAAATAGTAACTATATATGTATATAAAACTTCACACAGTAAAAGAACTTAGTGTTCACTAGGAAAATCTGTAAGATAACGTCTCAGTCTGTTCTTGAAAATATTCAAATTCTCCGCCTCGGCAACTTCCTTTGGAAGATTGTTCCACTTATCTATTATGCGTATTAAGAAAGAATGTTTAAAACTATTTAAAATTGCTGATGTAAGCTTAACTTTAAAACGATGGTTGGCTCTTAAGGGCCGAAAATCATGTGCAAATGTAAAAAAATGCTGAGGGATCAAGTCCATTAAGTCTATTTATTGTCTTATAACACTCGATAAGCGACGAAAATAATCTTCTTTGTAGAAGAAAATGTAGATGAAAAAAATGAAAAAGTAAAAAAAATGACGGTATTTTCCCACATTTCCAAAAGAAAACTTGGCGAACAGTTTACATGAAAAATATGAAATTGGCTTTCCTAGACTTGTGACACGCCTTCAGCCGGGTCACTGTTTCTCGATAGTAGGGACACGCACCTAGCAGTAGTTTTCTGGAATAGACACATCAGTGCCTTAGATGTTTTTCAGCGATGCTCCCTTTTATCATGATAAGTTTCATATGGAAAATGCAACTAAAATTTAAAAGAAACAAAAAATCACTTAGTTTGAAACATGATCAACGACAGAAACGACTTAATAGTTTTCTAGGTTGAACACATCTCCTGTACTTAGAAACGGTTCCAACAAAATAAATGGAGTGGTTTTTATTGGTAATAAAAACGAAATATTTATAAACTTTCCTTTTATGATAAAATTGTCTCGGTTATGTTTCAGCGATTCTGGTTATTATTACGATGACAAAAAGGACGCAAAGAAGCTTGATTCAGGCTATTACTAGTACGTATATATGAAAAAATATTTGCAGGATTGATATCTTTAAATTTAACTTTAAACCAACTCTATTTAAAGACGTTACTAGAGGAAATAAATGACCAACACCAAAAGCAGAGAAATATACACCACAACTTGACTTTATTCAAAACTGTTTTTAATTACAATGTTTACCCCCGTGGCTATACAGACAGTAATGTTAGACTAATTTATCAAGTTAAACGTTTTTTTTTAAAAGTGGTATTTCTCAGGCCCTGTTAATCTAGAAAAAAAAAAAAAAAGTTGACCTGTGTGGAAGAGTAACTTGCCTGCCGGAATTCTCCTGGGCAAGCCAACTTTGATATCTATTTCAAACTTGGCCACAAGTTTACATTAAGAAACGGAAAGTTGGCTTGGCTCGAAGAGAGACATGACTCGCCTTGCTGGGTTATCCTTTTTTGATTGTAAGGTCAAACTCCGAGCAGGGGTTTCTGGGTTGGAATTATCATTGCCTATTAATAAGTTATGTTTTATTGACGCTGTCTGATAATATTATAACTTAAATAAGAGGAAACACAAAATAACATCGTTTGAAACACTATCAAAGACAACGATGACTTTATAGTTTTCTGGGTTGGGCGCATCATATTCTCCTGTCTGCAATGATGGTTCCAACAAAATAAATGGAGTGGTTTTTATTGGTAATAAAAACGAAATGTAACTTTCCGTTTATGATACAATTGTCTTGGTTATGTTTCAGCGATGCTGGTTATTATTAAGATGACAAGAAGGCCGCAAAGAAGCTTGATTGAAGCTATTACTAGTACGTATATATGAAAAAAAATATATTTGCAGTATTATTAAGAGTTACGGGACGAAGTAAATGACAACAAAAACAGAGGAAACACAGCTTTAAAATCTCACTATCAATATATACGACAACTTGACTTCATTCAAAACAATTTTACAATGTTTAATCCCTTGGCTCTACAGTCAGTAATGTTAGAATAAGTTATCAGCGTTTTTTAAAATCTGTTTAAGTGATATTTCTTAGGCTCTGTTACTCTAATGTCCTCTGTGGAAGGGTCACCCCTCCTGTCTGAGCTCTTCTGGGCTAGCCAACTTTGATTTCCATAGAAAACTAGGCCAAAAGTTTACATAAAGAAACAAAATTAGGTCGGCTAGAAGAGTGACGTGACACGCCTTGCTGGGTTACCCATTTTTGATTGTAGGGTCAAACTCTGAGCAGGGGTTTCCGGGTTGGAATCATCATTGCGTACTACTGAGCTATTTTTCAGTGATGCTGCCTGGTACTATGATAACTTTAATATGAGGAAACGCAAGATAACATTGTTTGAAACACTATCAAAGACAACGATGACTTCATAGTTTTCTGGGTTGGGCATAGACTTTCAAAAACGTCCTTTGTCGGATTTATTGGCGCGGGACGAAGGACTTGTTATACTTGATAGCGACCTAAAAACGGGTCGCTGCGCTTAGACCAATCAAATTAGCTCTTTGGGACCCCTGGCGATAAAGTTGTCACACAAAGGTACTTAGAGCGCATTTAAACGTGACTTAAAGGACGGACCATTAGAAAAGTTATGGGGGGGGGGGAGGGGAATTTTCGAGCCGCAGGAAGGTTTTTTTGGTATCAAATTCCTTGTATGAATTTTTTTTAGGCCATAGCAAGAATATTTTTTAGGATTAATTGGCGTGCATGAATTTTTTTTTCATTTAAATTTCCCTTGCGCGAATACTTTTTTGTACTTCGCCCCCCCCCCCCATAACTTTTCTAATGGTCCGTCCCTAAGCTCATTAATACGATGACAAGAAGGCCGCAAAGAAGCTTGATTCATGCTCATTTTACTAGTACGTATAGAAAAATGTCGATATTTTCTACATTTTCATAGAAATCTTGGCGAATAGTTTAGATGAAAAACATTAAGTCGGCTTGGCTAGACTGATGACACGGCTCACCGGGTCACTTTTTTTCGATAGTAGGGAAACGCTCCCAGCAGTTTTTTTCTGGATTAGACTCATCGATATCTTAGATAATCGTGTTGCAGGGATGCTGCCTTTTATCATGATAAGTTTAATACCGAGCATGCAACAATAATTTAAAATAAACAAAAAAAAATCACCTAGTTTTAAGCGTGATCAACGACAACGACTTAAAAAGTGTTTCAACAAATAAATTTATTGGTTTTTATTGCATTGGTGATAAAACCGAAATATAAACGTTTGGATAATTATTTTAATTGTCTCGGTTATGCTTACTGGTACAATGACAAGAAGGACGCAGGTTGATTCAGGGTATTGGTAGTACGTAAGAATAATGTTGGTGTCTTCCTCCAGTCATATAGAAAACTCGGCAAACAGTTTACATGAGAAACAAAACGTCGGCTCGGCTACCAGGGTGCTTCTCACCAATCTTTACTGGCAAAATTATCGGCCTGGTACAGTTTAGTACTGGTGGTCATGTTCTTTCAAACGCCAAAATCCATATTTGGTACGAATTTAGGGCATGAAAAACATTGAAACAATTTTTGAGACTTTCGTTGTCATTGTCTTCCATTCTAGGACTGGCTTTTCTTGCATCGGCCAATTTCTTTCCACTAATTCTCTCGGTTTTTTTTTTTGTTTGTTTTTTTACTTCGTTGTCATTTTGTTTTAGTTGGTCAACAACACTTTCTTCGGACAAAGCAAGCCGGCTGCTAGAAACGCTGTTTTTTGTTTTCAAATTTCGCGCTTTCTTTTGTCTGCAGAGCAATCTCCGAACTGTATTGATACGATTTTTAGCGGAGCTCGACAGGAGCACCATAGCTAAGAAAATCTGGTTACCTATCCAACCAAGAAATTTTGGCAGTCGCGTGACCGTACGTCTACCCGCCCGCCCGTCCGTCCTCACCACGGGAAAACCAATGTGAAATGATACACTTCCTAGCTAGTGTGGGAGCCTGCAACCTGATATTGCACCTCCTTGTTGTGGTCAATATACAGCTGTCAAAACAAAATATCCACTGACCTGTATCACATGACGGTATCGCGGGCTCAGGTGTCAACCCATCGAGGTTACGTGTTTTTTGAAGTTTACCGCTGACAATGTTCTACGTTTCAACTGGTCGCAGGCTCAACTCTATTTTGAATTTTTCTCTGATTTTTTTTTTATAGTCATGTTTGTCATTGACGGGAGCTTCGCCTTAAGCCTCGGCTCAATCTATTAAGTTTATAAATTATTGTGTTATAAACGGACCGTAAACTTTCAGTGATGCTGCCTCTAACTAACGGCACGTATTTAAAAAGTGTTTGCCGAATGAAAAATTTTTCAAACAACTACGCCGACATATTGATAGTTGATATAGGACTGACAGAAAAGGAAAGACAGAATCTCATCGGTTCAAATGGTGTTATTCAAAAGCCATCACTATGATATTAGAATTCTTGCTCCTTAGCAGTGTAGGCTTGCTGGTCGGTGCACCCGCAGGCAGAAATTGATTTAAAATTGGTTTTCTTAAGTTTTTTCTAATCTTTTGACAAGTAAATTTTAGTCAATTTGATATTTTCGGTATAAAGTCTTCTTCCCTCTCTTTGTTTTGTTTCAGCGATGCTGCCTATTATAACGACGCGAGGAAAAGACGGAGAAGCGGCTTCATTCCCAGATGAGATTGATTCAGAATAAAACAATATGCATGGACGCCAATGAAGAATAGTAGGGGATTAGTTGAGGGTACCTTTACGTTGTGCATGGAAAACTCTTGATTCAAAGAAAAATAAAAATCAACACTTTGCTCAAGTAACTTCAACTCTGCTTTCTTTTGTTAACGTCTAAATTTGGTGTTCATCGCTCACCGACGAACTTCAATGTGCTGGCATTAAATTTAATGGCCGGAAGTTGATACCAGGTTAATCTTAACCCTATTCATATCGGGCTGCTGCTGCTACTGCTTCTTCTTATTCTTGTTCTTGTTCTTTCTGCGGACGGGGAAGGAGTGGGAGTAGGGCTTGGGGCCTCCTCTGTAACTCTGTAACTCATGATACCACAGGCATCCCAAGCTCACGTTACGAATGTGGAATATAAATTTACTTTCTCACAAGAGAGTCGATATCGCGTTACAGGCGACCTTTGAGACGTTGTATGAGAAATAACATACTAGGGTCGGCGAACGCTAAATTTCATTATATTTTACCTTTTGGTTTATAAAATAAATAAAGGAGTCTTACTTTTTATTATGAAAAGATGCACTTCTGGCCACCCTTATTCAAACACTGGATAGCGACATCCTGCGGATAAATCACTATCCAGTGGTTAAGAATTAGGAAAACCAATTTTTCTATCCCCTGGATAGCGATTTATCCGGTAGTCTGCTACACAGCCGTTTTTAGTGTCGTCACGCAACGCTCCTCCCCACTAACGGCTGCTGAAAACCGAACTACATTCCTTTCCCTTTGTGTTTGTGGTCTAACGAACAAACCAATCATGTACAAGAAATTTGACAATACGTGAGCCGCAGGGCGCCAGGCAGCGAGCACGCTTCTCAGTTTTCGACAAATCAATCAATCGTCGCTGAATTTAGACGGGCCCTGTGTTTTCAAGCAACGAAAAGGTTAATTTGCAAAAAAAGTTGGTTTTAAGCGGTCAAGAAAGTTTCAAGTGAAGAGAAGGTTTGATAGGCCTAGAAAACTTTTACCAGGATCGGTTAGTTCTTCATTTAGCGTGCATATGTGCTGATATGTAGTGAAGAATTTAATGTACCGGATGTGCTCATTGTGTTCTGTGAAGACTAAACTCTCAAGGGTACTGAGTCAAAAAGCAATTTTATAAATTATCGATGAGCGATTTCCCGAAACTATACCTGGCAACTTTATGAGCACATCCATGTTGTGAATCGCAATTTGCTCGACTTTCTTGCTGTTGCTGCTTATCTCCTAAATTTTGAATACGACTCGACTACGACAACACTGTAGTTAATTGCTTGTTTTCACGCGACGATTTTGATTATTCTGTCATTCACACATGGGGCAACG